GCTAATTTTTAATATATTTTTTGTAGACATGGGGTCTCACTATATTGTCCAGCCTAGTCTCAAACTTCTGGGCTCAAATGATCCTCCTGCCTAGGCCTCCCAAAATGCTGGGACTATAGGCATGAGCCACTGCATCCAGCCCAGATATTTTAAATGTATATTTATATATAATCTTTTTTTAAAAAAAACCATAGATGCTAGCATTCTATGCACATTTCTGCATTTTGCATTTTCACTCATACATCTGGAAGATATTTCTATATCAGTACATATAATTAATCTCATTTTTAAAACAGCTGCAAATAATTCTAGTAAATGAATGTATAATTGATCTAACTAATCTCCTGTGGATAGACATTTAATAATTGTTTGCTACTGGAGTCAGTGCTGCCTTTATACATATGCCTTCATGTACATGTGCATTTATATATGTAAGATGCATTTATAGAAGTGGAATTGCTAGGTTTGATACATTTATAAAATGTATCAGCCTTTTAAAAGTACATGCATCAAAAGGTCTGATACATTTTTAAATCTGTCAGTTATTGCCAAATTACTTTGTATCATGTCTGTGTGTGACAATTTACAATCCTGCTAATGATGTATAAAACCATTTGATTCTGTACACCCTTAATGAAACAGTGTGTTCCTTACACTTTTCATCTGTGCTCAACTCTTAGGTCACAGTGGGGGTTCAATATGGTCTTAATTTACATTTCTCTTATGAGACAGGTTGAGAATCTTATTGTAGGAACTATTTGTATTTCCTTTTCTGAGAACTATCTGTTCATAACATTTGCCACTATTTTTCCCTGGGCTCATTATTCTTTTTGTTCTTGATTAATATCTGGAATATTTATTTCTACTTTTTTTTTTTCATTTGGACTTTTGAATTAGATTGTCCACTTCTAAAAAAAAAAAAAATTCTATTTTATTTTGTTGTCCAGGCTGGAGTACAATGGAGTGATCCTAGCTCACTGCAACCTCCACCTCCCAGATTCAAGCAATTCTCCTGACTCAGTCTCCCGAGTAGGTGGAATTACAGGCAAGAACCACCATGTCCAGCTAATTTTTTTTGTATTTTTAGTAGAGATGAGTTTTCACCATGTTGGCCAGGCTGGTTTTGAACTCCTAACCTCAGATGATCCAAGCACGTTGGCCTCCCAAAGTGCTGGGATTACAGGCATGAGCCACCGCGCCTGACCAAAAATTATATTTTCACTGGGCTAAGTTACATTTATGGTTTAAGGAAAACTGACATTTTGATGTCTCTTCCTGTATGAGAACAGGGTATATTTTTCCATTTATTCAAGACATAAAGAGGGCTTAAACAGGCGTATTTTAAAAAGATGGCTACTGTGGAGTCCACATTGAGAAGGGCAAGAATGAAAGCAGGAAGACCAATTAAGTGGTCCTGCAGTGGCCCAGGAAAGAGATGATAGCGCTTAGATTAGGACTGGGGGTGAACAGATCTGAGATCTGTCCTGAAGGAAGCAGCATTTAAACTTTCTCGTTGATTGGATATGGGAGTAAGACAAAGGGAAGAATAAGTATGATGCTAGGTTTTCAACTTAAGTCATTAAGGGACTAGTGATGCTGTGAGATACAGGAGACAGAAAGAGATCCTAGAAGAAGGCTTGCTTAGAAGGAAGGTCCCTAAGCCTCAAACTCCAGAAAGGGTGCACACAGAAGTTCTTTCAGTAGAGACACAACCGACTGAAATCACAACAACCTCCACTAACCAATGTGGTACCTTTGTGTGAATTTTTAAATGGTGCTTTTTCTGGGAAGACAAGGACCCAAAGGTATACTCAGCAAGGAGTACGTGAGTTGAGTTTTAGCCCCTACTTAGTCTCTTGACTGGTGCTCCTGTGCTATGAGCGACCTGCAAGACCATACCTGGAAGCCTTGGAACTAACTCTGATTAGGGCATCTGACTCATCCACTTCTATAAAGTATTACCCTGCTCCTTAAACTTAACTGAAAATGGCCCCTGACTCTAGTGTTCTGCCTCTCAGCAAGATCCTCATTTTCACCTAGAGATCTGCCAGTTACAATGAATCTGACTGCTGCGGGATTAACTATGCATTTCAAAAGTTGCCTTGCCTCTCCTAAACCTTGAATTTAGTGCATAGAATAAAATATAGCCTTAGGTCATCTTGGCTACTATAAATCTCAGAATGATGCTTTTTCTATACTTATGCAATTCCTGTTGCCCAATTTGAAAATGTCCTGGTCGGACCAGTTAGCTGCAAAGAGAAAGTTGTTAAGTTGTAAATTGCATCTGAAAGTAAGTTGCAAGTTGTAAGTTGCCATTTGTAAGCAGCAAGTTGTAAGTAAGTTGCCATTTGTAAGTTGCAAGTTGTAAGTAAGTAGCAAGTTGCATCTGAAAGACGACTGGCTTTAAACCATTCTGATTCTGAGTCATCTGTTTGGTGCTCTTTGAGTCCAGCCTCCAGCCTCTAGGTCCCCCTGGTCTAGGTGACACCTCTCCAAACAGTGTTGAGCTTGCTCCTCAAAGGCTCCTCAAAGCCAGGGACAGAGGGAGATTTTGAAAAACTCTGCCTTCAGTCAGACAATCCCTGTTCTTTTTCTGCATCTTCCCATGAAACAGCAGGCTCAAAAAGAATTACTCATGCCCTCGTGACTGATTGAGTACCCCCAACCCAGGGGTTCTCCCTTCCTTAATCCCCTCCATTTTATTTATACCATGAGGACTTCAGGTGTGCTGCGGGAGTAAAGAGGGGCCTACATTTCCATTACTCCTTGCTAGGGGCAGTGTTACACTGCTTGGTAATTGCTAATTCCCCACTCCAGGTGCAGCCCCCTCTCCCCAACTGAGCTAAGATGTAGGCTATTGATGCTTTCATGCCCAGCCCAACTATGAATCCGCTGACTTCCAGCTCTATTCCTCCTTGTACCCAACAGGAGCAATAATAACGACTGAGGCAAGTATGCAAAGCCACAGCCTAAAAGAAAAGAGACACATTGTCCTATCTGATCTACTGACAGGTAAGACAGACACTCCGTGGAATATACGGGAAATTCCCAGGCTGCTGCCAGGGCTCATTTTGTTCTTGTCTTCCCTGTGACTTTGCTCAGGGATTCCACTATCAGCAGTTCTATCCTCTGGCTCTCTCCATTCTCACATCAAAGCCTCAGGGATATAGAAAGAAGCTTGTCTTCGTAAAATGTGCCAGGACCTCTGTCTTAGATAAAAGACGACTATGAGAAAAGAAATTATTTCATTATACTATGTTCCATCTGATTTGTGCTTTTGAGAAATAAACATCCATGGCTTGAGATGCTTCTAGCGTTTCATGGAGAATTGGGACTATTTCCACGACATGCCCTGCTCATTTCCTCATTGTTTCTTCCCTTTTTGCCTCGTTGGACTCGAGGGGCGACTGTGAGTGGTGAAATTTCTGACCAGGTAGAATACCGGGCAGGTGCAGGCTCCTGAAGCATCAGTAAGACTGGCTCAAAAGATTATAAATGGGTCAACCAAGAGCATGCACCACTGAGGGCCAGTCAGGAGCGCCTCCATTTGTTAAAATATAGAAGGCATTCCTCTCATCAAGCATCACAATTAGGCAATCTCAAAGAAAAAAAATGTTAGCTCTATTTGGCCTACGTGGTATGCTCTAAGAAAGTATCTTAGAAAAGTTTCATTTTTTCTTTCAACAAAAATTTATTGAAAGATCAAACGTGTTCTCTTTCTTGGTGTCTTCAGCTCGTAAAGTCGTTTTGTGAACTTCGTGAATCTGGCAAATAAAATGAAATGGATGAGAAATGCTGAGAGATGATTATTTTCCTCAAGTATTTTAACGGCCTCCAGGCAGACCTGATAAATATTCAGAGAGTGATTAGCTGGTGCATCCCCACATAGCCATGCCCGCTACCCTTTCACAGGCAGTTTTACTTGGTAATTTACAAATGTACTGGCTGCACTCTGCACCTGACAGCAGCGCAGTAATTAGCTTGGGATGCAAAATGATTTCTAAATGAAGGTCGTGGACTTGTAAAATCAAGAAAGCCTGATAATCAACATCGTTGCTCTGGTGGCCAATGAATAACGGGATAAATGCCTAGGACCAGTCCCTTAACCATCCCACGTGGTGACAGATGTCCGACGTACAAATTAAAAGTCTCTACCACACGCAGGTGAAATACCGTATAGGTCAAGAAGAGAAGGTAGGGGAAAGGGTCAGTGCTTAATTATTTAAAATCGCTTTTTTTCTCCTGCAGAAAGGTCTAGAGGCTGGGTCTTTTAGGGCACACACGATGAGAGTGACATTTTGGCCAGGGGAGACCTCAAGCTGGTACAGGCTGCTCGAGCTACGGGCGTCGTGCCCTGGAGACACCGGGGGTCCTGAGGATACGGAAGGGGCTCCCTGCGGCGTGTGCTCACGGGGAAAGGGGTGAGCGCGGGGCGGGAGGCCCGGGGCAGGTGCTGCGCGTGGAGCCCACTCCGGGACGCCGGCTCCTCTCCGCGGGGCACGGGCGGCGCAGAACTCCGAGCCCGGCGCCAAGACAGAGAGAGCGCGGGAGTGGGAGGAGGAAGGCGGGCAGAGGAGGAGGCCGGGCGGCAGGAGCGGAAGAAGAGGAGGCGAGCAGAGGCGGAGGGGGGCGAGAGGGAGGAGAGCCGGGCGCAGGAAGGGGAGGACGAGGAGGAAAGAGAAAGGCGGCGGCGGAGCGCGGACCCGCCACTCCCGGCCTCCTCCCCCGCATCCCCACGCGGGCCGGCCCTCCCCGGGCCGCCGCCGCTTCCTCGGCCCTCGCGCTCGCCGCCTCCTCCCGACTCAACCCGGCCGGCGCGGCGCCACCCCCCTCGCGCGCCCCCGCCAGCCCCGCGCGCCCCCGCCACTCTCGCCCGCGCGGCCTCGCGCTCGGGGCATGCGCGGTGGGCGGCGCCGCTCCGGGCCGCCTCTGCCGCCGCGAGTAGGAAGCGCGAGCGCCGGGCGCCGGGCTGTCAGTGAGCGTGGGGCCAGCGGGCGAGCCAGCGGCTCCGGCTCCGGCTCCGGCTCCCGCTCCGCGCCGCCCCGGCCCGACTCTCCCCGGTCCCCGCCGCGCCCCCTCGCCGCCGCGACCTCGGCCCCCGGCCCGCGCCCCCCGCCCAGGGTCGCCCCGGGCCCGCGCCCCTCCCCCGCCGCCCCCGCCCACCCTGCCCTCCCCGGCCGCTGCTCCCCGGCGGAGGCAAGAGGTGGTTGGGGGGGACCATGGCTGACGTTTTCCCGGCCAACGACTCCACGGCGTCTCAGGACGTGGCCAACCGCTTCGCCCGCAAAGGGGCGCTGAGGCAGAAGAACGTGCACGAGGTGAAGGACCACAAATTCATCGCGCGCTTCTTCAAGCAGCCCACCTTCTGCAGCCACTGCACCGACTTCATCTGGTAGGTGCCCGGCCGGGCGCCCCTGCCCGCTGCTCCCCGCCTCCGGGTCCCGGCCCCGCGCGCTCGGGCGCGTCTGCTCCGGGGCTGGCTCACTCCGAGAACTTGGAGCCGGCGGGAGTCCGAACTCTCGTCCGGAGTGACACGCGCGCCCGGCCCTGACACCCGCGGGCAGGACTCCTGGGACGTCGCCGCCCCGCCACACACCCCCTGGCTCGGGACGGAGGCTGGTCCCGTGCGCTGGCGGCGGGGATCGCTCCCCGGGCCGCGTCCCTCACCAGCTTCCCGTGCGCGCCCACCCGCACGCACCCAGCAGAGCGGCCGCTTGCAGGGGTGGGAGCCCAGGAGACAGGGGAGGAGGACAGGAGGCAGAGGTTCCCGGAGAAACGCGCCCGGGAGTAACGGGGGAGCGGCAACGATCGCGCCGCGTGCGGTCCAAGTTGCTGGCGAGCCAGGCTGGGCGCGTTCGGGGGTGGAGGGGGGGCGGGTGTGTTTGTGCTTCCAACAGGACTGGACTGCGCTGGAATCTTGGGCCCCTGCCTACTGTAGGCTGCATCTACTGGGCACGGAGAGACTTTGACTTTTCTAAGTGAGCAGAGAGAGAACAAACTGTTGAAAGCTTGCAGTGGGGGAGGGGGAGTTCGAGCAGGCAAATGGCAGAAGGACAGAGGGACTCATTTAAAATACACTCCAGCCTGGGTAACAAGAGCGAAACTCCGTCTCAAAAAACAAAAACAAAAACAAAAACAAAAACAAAAACAAAAAAAACACCCTGTGGCCAGGCGCGGTGGCTCACACCTGTAATCCCATCACGTTGGGAGGCAGAAGTGGGCGGATCATCTGAGGTCAGTAGTTCTAGACCAGGTTGGCTAGCATGGTGAAACCCCATCTTTACTAAAAATACAAAATTAGCCGGGCTTGGTGGCACACGCCTGTAATCTCAGCTACTCGGGAGGCTAAGGCAGGAGAATCGTTTGAACCCGGGAAGCGGAGGCTGCAGTGAGCTGAGATCGGGCCACTGCACTCCAGCTTGGGTGAGACAGAGCGAGACTCCGTCTCAAAAAAATAAAATAGACCCTGTCAACACGCCCTGTAGACGAGGACAGAGCTCTTAAGAAAAATAATGTGAGGGCCAGAGGTGTCAGAGATCAAGTAACTTCCAATGAATGCAGGCATTCTTAACTCGAGGGGGCCATGCTGAGGGCTTATGGAGAATCCATAGATAGAAGGGCTTCAGGGGTCTCCGAACCCTGTAAAACTGGGTGAAATTGTGTTTGCGAATCTTTTTCTTTCCTGGTGAAAGAATTTCAGCTTTTATCTGATTTTTCAAAAGGTCTGTGACCGTTCTTCCCAGATCCCCATCTCCCCACGAAAGTTTAGAAAGCTGGAGCTAAAGAAGCTTTAGGTCCTCTAGATAAGATGTAGCAGTAGTTTGGTTTTTCTCTTAGGTTGCCCGACGTCCTTATCTTCTACCTCTTCTTTTGTGATGTAGGAAAAGTTCCCGACAAGACAGAGCTATGGCAAGGGCTTCTTAGCTCCGTCCCCTTCTAGGCTGGGGGAAGCTGCACAGGGTGACAGCCACGGAGTGAATCTTGCCACCAGCCAGCTGTGTGGCACAGGTATCTTGGGCCACTAGGGTGAACATAGTGTGAATGACTCTGTCTGAATCCATCACGTCTGGGGAAGAACATCCCAAAGGGCAAGTCCCATGATCGTGATGCTAATAAGGTGTTTAATTTTTCCTTTTCTTTTTAGACATCTGCTCCAAAGTCCACTTTTATGAAAAGCATAGCCACCTCTATGAGTGATTTCCGCTGTCTAGTCAGCATATGAAGCGATTGTTCTCAAAGGAGTAGGTGATCATAGATAAGGCTATTTAAAATAAAAATTTCGGAGCATCAGGGCAAAGAGAATCTTGCATTTGATTAAGAGGAGGTGGTCAGCTGTGAGAGTCCATTAAAAGGGAACAGACTGCTGGTGACTTTTGCAGGAAGTAGGAGAGTTAGACACGGGACTTGCAGCATATCTAGGCTAGCTAATATCTTTCCACTATTAGTTTCCCTTGAAGGATCAGCCCCTGGTGAGCTGAATAGGTGCTCAGGTCACCAGCAGTATTGTGAAGTGGAAAAGAAAGACCTCCCTGAGTATCCCTGCAGCACTCTTCATTTCTTTGTAAACCAATTGGAAGTCCCAGGAAAACATCCTCGGGGATTGTCTTTTTCAGTTTGCTTTCATTATTGCCTCTATGAGGTCCTTGACTTTCAAGTTCATTTCAATATTGAATCACTGATAGTTTAAAGTTAAATGTTTAGAGTTAGCTATGGTTTTTGGTGGGGGGATGACTAAGTTAATTTTAAAAGTATGTGAAGTACTTTGTACACTTAAAATTCTATTCGAAGCAAGAGGTTATGACTTTCAACCTTCGGAGGAAATTTTGATGCAGTTCATTCTAGTGGAACACTAGTTGGCAATTGCATGTCCATGTCAGGGTTCTCTGCTTACAGAGTGAATTCTCTAAAGTCATTTACAAGAACAAAACAGTTTCTGCATGTGCTTTGAATGCTTTTGGTTTTCAGTAGAAATTAGATCATGGTAATCTCAAATGCAAACAGTAGGGTGATATTTTCTATGATCTGGGTCCTTAAGCCCAAATTAAATGTTAAAAGTGATGCCGTTTGGCAATTTCTGAATGTGTAGTATTTTAAACAAATGCATAATAAGTAAGCCACTTGGTTGTCTTCAGAGAGAAAAAAGCAATTTTCATTTGATCTTCAGGAACAAAATTAAGCAACTTCCTTTTAAAATCTTAACCATAAACTCTTTTGTTACTTGAACATTGTATTGTAACCAAAACTCTGAATATTCAGTCATGTTCTTGTCTTGAAGTTTTAGTATCGATAATATAGTATAAAAAATTGGAAGGAAGCTTGATACGTTGAAATTGTTCAGTGATTCTTTATAGGTGAGATAGTTTCCCTCCTAAGCTTGAATTTACACAGTAATCTGACTAGATATTTAGGCATTTTTTCCTATTAAATCATTAGGTTTCACATACAGACCTTTAGTAGTGGAATACTTGGTCACATAACTTGTTTAAAACATGCTATCCAACACAAAATATGTTAAGATATTTTGTTCTTGTTTTTGTTTTTCAGGGGGTTTGGGAAACAAGGCTTCCAGTGCCAAGGTAAGCTGCCACTTACGATTTTATTTTCAAGCACAACATGAAATAAGCATTCCAAACAAGAACAGTATTTCCAGTCATCTTTTCTTTCCAATTAAAAGAAAATGTTATTTAGATAATATTTTTGAAATATGAGGGCTATAAATTTAGACCTTAAAAAAATAATTTGGGCCTACTAATCTGCGTATAGAGCTGCTTTTTCTCATAGGGGGGAAAAAAAGCCTTCCTGTAATTTTATTTTTTGCCGAGAACATTCTTGTCAGAAGCTGCTGTCTTTGTGTGGGTGTTGAGAAAAAAATGGAATCACTTTGTATTCAAGTGGCTTTTCTTCCTTGTTCTTCCTCTTTGTTTTTATTCTTCATTGCTTTTACTTATGTATTGGGTTGGACTCACTGCAACTAATTTTAGGCCATATTTCATTCTAGTAACGGCTTGTTTTGTTTAGATTACCAGTTGTTATCCAGAACAAAGTTTGCATGTTTTAAAGTCGTGTCGATGATTTGAGGATGACTGATTTCCATGGTATGACCATGTGGCATGCTTTTCCTTCAGCTTACATATCCGATCACCCATATGATACCAAATATCGCATACAGGAGGAAATCCATTTACTTCCCCCTCTGACCTGTAATTGCATTTCATACATGTCAAATATCTAACTTTTCGTACTCTCCATTCTATTTGTTTGACTTTTCCTTTTTAAAGAAACCCACTTTATAGTTTGTGAAGGCATCACAGGCTCATTAGCTAACTTTTCTGGCTCTCTGCTTATTGTCTATATTGTGTTTGTTTAGTTCTGGTTCCATTTCCCATCTGGGCATAGATTTGTTATTAGGGCAAGCAGAAAGTACATTCTAGCCTGGAAAATATGATCCTAACACTGTTTAATACTAAGTATATTAGAGAGAAAGGCACTGTGTACTTCCTTACAGCTTTGAGATTGTGCTAGTAAGTTGGTTACCTTTTAAAGGCTTCTTCAGATTTGTGTACTTGTTTTTTATATACATTTTCTAGACATATTTTTAGTTGAGACTATTTTATGGCATAATTATTCATTTAATAGCCTACCTTCCTTTCTCCAAGATGTGCTTAAAACCCCTACTGAGTATATCATTTTCGGAATTACATTTGAAAATCAAGGGATATTCCTTTTAAAAAGAGAATAAAGCGAAAGATGTGTTATACCAGTCTCTACAAAAGATGAAAGGAAAATATAGCTCTTTCTAGTTCTCAAAGTTCTGGGCCTCAACTTTGTAGGTGAGATTTGAGTCTAGGCTTGAACATGACTTTAGGGAGTTTAAAGATGTAAGATTCTGGGCCAATGTGATTGACATCTGTGATGTTTGGTGGTATTTTTGGTTTGGGTGGGGACTTATGTAAATCTGTAAGAAAATTTTTGTACTGAATCTTCTCAGTACTACTTGTCCGGGAGAAAGTGGTTATCCTGTTCTAAAACTTTTATCATTTTCTGCATAAATAAAAAATAAAGTTGATTAGAATAAGGTTGGTTCCTATTAGACCTGCTCATCTGAGCCGATTTTGTTGTGGAAATCTTAGAGTGGCCATATTACTAGGCTACCAGGGGTTCGGCATGGTTCCCCTCAGAGAGCACCTCTAAACTTTTAGTGGATTAGCAGATTAAAGTCTCATGGCAGCATAACTCCCTTTTACCCAAATTATAAAAGTGAAACCCATAAAAATTTTAAACTGTATAAAATAAGAAGTGAAATTGCATTCCCTTGTCTCTTCCCACCTCTGGATAATTCTGTTTAAGACAATCATTCATTCACTCACTCACGCATACTTAGTTTTTAAAAGGAGATCAAAATTTTCTACCACTCTGCAGCTTGCTCTTTTCCCACTCCGCAGTGGACTGTGGATGTCCTTCCATGTCAAAGCATCTGTTCTGCCTTATTCTGTTGATTGGCCGCATGTGTGGATGCATCCAATTTATTCACCCATTCCTCTCTTGAGGGGTATTTTAATTGTTACTCAGTTCTTACTAGCACAAATACCCTTCTTTGTCAAGAGCATTTTTGGACACTAGCGTAGGTGTTTCTACAATAGATAGAAATGTATATGTGTGCATCTTGAGTCTTAATGGGTGCTGCTAAACTGCTCTTCAAAAGAGGTGTGTGTGTGTGTGTGTGTGTGTGTGTGTGTGTGTGAATGTGAATGAGACTTCCCCTTCATTTTTTACCAGTGAAGATACTGGATAATATACATCTTTTCCTTTTTTTTTTTTTTAAACCAACCAATCTCGTAGGTGAAAAGGGGCCCCTCTTTTAAATTTCCATCTCCTGCATTATGGGTGGGCTTGAACATTTTTTTTTTTTTAATGTATTTTAGCCATCTGTGTTCTGTGAATTGCCTCACTTTATCTAATATTTGAAACTCTGGATTACAAACTAAACAAATTAGAGAAGTGAGTGTGTGCTTTCTGTGTAGTTCTTTGGTGAAGAGTTTAACCTCAAATTCTCTTTAGATAATGAATTACCCCAGTGTATTTACAAATTATAATTCACAGAAACCTTTTCAAATAGTATACGTTTATTCGTAACATGATGTCTGCTTGTTATATTTTGTTTAGTGTCTCGTTTGTATTTGACTTCTAGTAGGCATAGGCTAGTCCATTGTGTTTTATTGTTTGTTGTAAGTCAATTAGGAAGGATATGTTACTTCAGGATGATGCTTTTCATCCCACAAATGTGGTTACCCAGCATTTTCTGTTTTGGCTTTTACCTCAAAATTAATCTTTCTGCTAACATCTGACCATGGTAGAGTGTTTAAGTTTTCTTTTAATGCTCTCTAACTTTGTTTTTTTTCCTTGGTTTTGTTTGATAGAGCATCATTCTTCTGCAGGAGAATAACTCATTCTCATCTATACCTTTGACAACACACCCTCTGGAAATGACAGCTGGAGTTTGAAACTGCTTTTTGTATTCCTCATACATCAGAGGATTTTTACCAGATGAGGCAGTGCTTTCTGTCTGCTAGTATGTAGTATGTGGCTTCGGTTAGTAGGTGAAACATCTGCGGCAAGCATAATTTTTCTTTCCTTTTTTTAAACTCGAGGGGTGTGTGTGCTCCCAATGACTCACATATTCATGTAGTAAATAATACAGCTTTAGATCCAAAATATTTGTCATCATTTTACTTAGTAAATAATGAATAGGTACTTGAAGACTAAAGAAATAAGTGAGTTTTAGTCCTTAAAACTGGCTTTGTAGTTTATGCCATTTAGAGAAGGGCATTTTACAAATATGTGAAGCACTAAGGATATTTCTTATTTCTACTTTCATTTATGTTGTATCTTGGGGAAGGGAAGGACTTTTTTCTGGAGAGAGATTTATTGGCGTATTCCCACTTTCCCTTCAGGGACTCTATGCCATTCTTCTTTATGTTGCCATATAGGTGTACAACCCTGAAAACGGATATTACCAGAGCAAGTAACACAGGCTGCCATTGTCAGAATTTGCTGCCTGAAACAATGAAACCAAGGGCCGTCCTGTTGGTGAGGAGAAAGATGAGTGTGTAGTAGATTTCCAAGTGGGAAATATTTTTCTTAAGGTCCTTAGAGATAAAGACAAACATGTTCCTCTGTAGCTCTTTTTACCTGACTTGGACTTGGCTTCCAACTTTGGGCTGAATATTTTTTGCTTGATGTACTCCTAGCACTCATTTCTTCTCCATATGACTAGCAGAGATCTAGTCTTTGCCCACTTTTTTTTTTTTTTTTTTTTTTTCTTCCTCAGAGAAAGAAGAAGAAAGGGAAGTAGATTCGTGTGCTCTGGACATTAATGAAGTTGAGTTTCATGTTTGGAAGGTCTGTTTCCAGTTGGTAGCATCTGTCTTACACTGGCTGCTTCCAGAGTCAGTCATCATAGAACAGAGCGAGTCACTGTACTGTTCAAATCTGCTCTTGCTCTGTCTGGGGCGGTGGAGCTGAAACAGTGTTACTTACTGCTTTCAGTATTAGAAAAGAGAAAAAGCCAACTCGATTTTTTCCCCCTCCTTAGGCAGAGCAACTTCTCTAATTACAGTGGTAGAAACAGCCTCTCAAAATGTGACCTGCTTATTTCAAATGCCATACAGTTACATGGTTTGTTACATCTGCCTAAACTCCACTGGTTTTCCCTGATTTTTTTTTTTTGTTTGTTTGTTTGTTTGCTCTTCTTTGTCTTTTAATATCACAAATTAAAATGTACTATAAACCCAGGCTCTTTGTTGGAGAAACCCTCAAGAGACAGCATGAGAATTAAGCTCTGCCAATAATCACGACCAAGAGGAGCCTGTTGTCCCTGAATGATCACCACTGGATTTTTGAGGGGTTTGCCAGGAAAGAATTCACATTTTTGTGCTTTGAATGATGCCAATAAGAAGTAGTTTTGAATCTTGAGTCATTTCCCTGCTAAGAACACACATCACCTATTGTACTTCACCTGTGACTCCACCTGAAGCTCTGTATTTTGCAGTGTTAAGCGTTAAGAAATCAACTTCTCTTCTCCTTTGATATTTTGTTTTGAAGTCCTCTTTCAGGGAAGATATTTCTGTTGGCTCATCTGAGCAGGGTGGTGGTTTCTGTTCCTTCTGTAAGAATGAAAGTTGGTGTTTGAGGGAAGAAAAAAAAAAAAGAATCGTCAGTCTCCTCTTGGCTTTTTTAGCTGAGGGATTCCAGAAAACAAGATTGACTTAAGGAAGGTGGCCTTTAAACAGACAGGGCAGTAGCAATTGAGTCACCGGCCTTTCAGAAAAGGGATGCACAGTTGTCCTCATCTGCCAGGATGTTCTGAGAGCCAAGTTTTAAGGACACCAAGTGCAGGGAGATAGGAGACCGATGTCAGGTTGGGTGGAATCCTGAGGTTGGCCAACTTGAGCAGGGTGTCTGTCCTCCCTGCGTACTGCACTGACCACTGTTTGCTCTGTTTGGCTTCTGGCTGCCCACTGGTCTTCAGAGTTAATGCCAGGGTTTTCCATGATTCTGTCTTCAAGAGGGGTTTGGC